TTTTTTTGAAGTGCTTTGATTAAGTGAGATGTTGGGTAAGTTCAGAGCCTAATTTCTCCTTCATAATTAAAAAATATGTGTGTGTGTCATGCTGCTGCCACTTAGTTTGCGTTTCCTTGTCCTAGTAGGAGTATGGCAGTGAATGATGTTTCCTGTAACAGCTGAGCTAGATTCAATATTTGGTTTGGGCTAATTAAAGGGCTAGGGCATAGGGCTGATGTTTCAGGTGGTTGTGATAAAACATGCAGATTAGCTACTTCACAGCCTTGTGGATCAGTCCCAGGGGAGCACTATTAGTTTGTGCATTCATTGCTTGACTAAACCCCAGTGCATGTGGGAATTGAGAGCCTTTCTCTTCCCCCAACCTCCTCCTGGCCACCAGGGGCCTTTTCTCTCTCCCCAACACTGCACTCTGCAACCAAGGTCCAGGAGAGGGGAAAGGGTTTGTGAAAGGGGGATACTTACCTGGGGTGCTGACAAGCATCATGGCAGAGCCCCAACCTTGCTTTCCACTCCCTTGATGGTATGGCAGCTCCTAGTGTAGATTCTGCAGGATAGCTCTCCTCTGTGGGCTCCCCTCCAGTGGCCACTCTCAATATTGTGTACCTCCAAACAGCCCTTCCCTTTCCATGTTATGGAAAACAGCTGTTTTCCCAGTGCTTACAGTTTGCCCGTCACAACTAAATCCTGACCTTGCTTTAAGTTAGGAGAAGAGGAAGATGCATATTCAATTTGATGATCCTAGTTCTTACCATTTAGGAGGAGTTCTTGAACAGACAGACTCTCAGATAGACACACATATACACAGGCAGGTGTGCGCGCACACACACACACACTATTTGAAAAGGTTCTCAAATTATGATCTGCAGATCCTATTCTGCTGGCTTGCGGAACGTTTGCTGGGATCACCTTAATTCCAGCTTCTGGATCATATTAAAAGATAATTAACAATACATTAAATTATGTTTCTATTACATTGTTAATCACGTAGTTGCCACAGGTCTGTGATATGATCATGATTTATATCTAATTCTGTTCCTTTCTAGCACCCTAAATAATTCCTCTGTCCTTGATATTAAGACATTTTAAGGTTTACTCATGGTGATTATACATTTTGTATGCCCTCACCCCATACTATTCCAAAGACTTGTGTGTCTGATTAAAAAGAGTTAAAATGCATAGTTTGGCTTTTTTTATAAATGGTTTCTGCCAGCCATTTAATCATGTTACTTTCATCTAGTGGCATCTCATTGGACAGTTCTCCTAATTGATACATTGCCTTGGTGGTGTTTGCTGCCCAAACAACAAATTAAGCCTTCAAGTTAGTTAATTTCACTTGTTTGAGCAACAAGACACATGGATGCCTCTTGTTTTAGGAACAAATTTGGTTCCCTGTTGTGTAATTTCACCAAGGCTTAAGGATTTGGTAATGGAACACAAAGTATTTTACCTCTAGGTGACTGATTAAAATCTCAGACAGTCATTGAGTGCCATGGTCCTCTCAGGTCAGGATTGGGGCAGGGAGAAGCGCTTGGCCTATAATTATGCAGGCTATATTTATTCTTTGGATTTTATTTTCCTGAGTTCTCAGTATAGAAATGTTTCATCAGTGCTCATTTCTCATTATGGAAATTCATATCAATAAATCAAAGTTTAGAGAAATTCCCATGGCTGGACTTTTCACAGGTAATATGCTCAAGTACTTGGGAGGAATGGAAGGCCTGTCCGTTCCACAGGGTACTGTAAGCCTTGGTGTGACTCTATAGTGCACCAGCTTGAAATTGAGTAATATCCCATGTGTACACTGTTACAGCGCCATGAAGGAACTTGATTGCAGTTACTTCATGGCAAGCTGGTGCTCTGTAGAGTCACAGCCTGGGATTCTGCATTGTAACTTGTTTTGTAGACAAGCACTTAGAAACAACAAGATTTCAGAGGAACTATCAGAACTGTGCATGTATGTTATACATTCTGGAGTCAAGTGTATGTAGGCTATCTGTTGCTTCAGAGAACACATTGTGCCCAGCATTCTTATTTTTAGAAGCTGTGCAGGTGTCACCTTTTGCAGGGACAGCTCTTCTCCTAACCACATTGTATGATCTTAATATTAGCCTCAGGCATGGTATAGGTCAAGTTTGAAAATTCAGAAAGAAGTGGAAAAAAAAATACCCATTTTGGTAGGAGAGTTACAGTGTGGATTCCAAGTGACAGGTGGGTTGTAAATATGCTAAGCATCTGCAGTTTGTTCTCCTATTACCAGTGTTGCTTTGGGTTGGGGACAAATTCCTTATTTTGGAAAAATAGAGATGGTGGAAAGTATCCTGTGAAACACACACTTGTTAAAAATGTTTGTCAAGGTTCGTGGTAAATGTAATTGACTTTCCTAATTTGCTCTTTGAAGTACCTTGTAGATTTAGATGTAGAATTCTCTTGGGTTAACAACCTTCAACATCAGACTCCTATCTCAGTTAGTGTAACACTAGCCTCAGTGAAATATCCTCATACCTAAGCATTTCAATCTGTTCATGGATTGGTTTTTATCATTCTCTGTCTTTGGTCTGTTTGACTTTTCCTTAATCCAAGAGAGACCCTGATAGACCAGAACCAGTTTTAGGTGTAATCAATGGTTCTCAATCTATTTACCCTTGTGGGCTTCACATTCTACTCTCTGTGTTTTTTACACAATATATCTACTATATGTAAGGTCCTAAGGATTTCATATGAGCTGCATCTGTGTGCTGATTGGGCCATGGATTGAGAATCACCTGATGGAACTCTAGAGTAAACAAATATGCACTCCTTCATCATTTTTTGCATCATCATGGTTTCTAGCTCAGGATGGTCAAATAGGATCATTAAAATCCTCTTTATGCAGACCTGAGTCCATTAGAGATGTTAGAAAGCTGATTTATTTTTCCAGAGTGTTCATTCCATCTGCATGTGTTTCAAAGGCTATTCCAGTATCTGAAAAATGTCTTTGTAAATGGAATATGTGGCTCTTTTCTGACTCTAACCTGGTGATATAATTCTACCTGATTAAATATTTGTGGGAAAAAATTGCTCCCAGGTGTCTGTGAATTTGCAAACAGTCTCCTTACATTTCAGCATTCTTGTGGTGATTTAAATTTTGCTTCTTTCTTGCTAGTGCTTTGTTTCTGTGTCTGCACAGGGCTGCATCTCCTGTAGTGTTTAATGTGTTTGTTTCATTTCCCCACACCAGAACCTAGGCTTATATTAAAACCACATTCCTCTTGTATGAGTGCCTGTTCCTTTAATAACATGATATCGTTATGGGGCCTGCACAGCTAGAACCTGTAACTTTCTGGGAGCTTCCACTGAGTTCACTGCTGAGGCAGACTTGGGCTCTATCTAATTGCAGCCTTTGTTTCTTTGTTTGGGGAATTGAACTACACATTTATGCTGAACCCTGAGACTGTAATGTTTTGTTTACTTGTATTTCAGTGCTATTAGCTTTTGTAGCTTAATGTTTTTCATTTTGTTGTCATGAACTGCTTGCCATTCACCTCTTGGATATAGTGTTCATAAAACCCATATCATGTGGTGTAGAGATGTCATTATAGAGACTCTGGAGGATTTAATGAATATCTACCTGAATTGTGTGAAAAATTGTAGTTTGTATTGGGTTGTTTAGAGTTTTAAATATTTTTTGCTTTCCTCTTTTGAAACTATCTTTCAAGCTTTGTGCTAAACTCAGGGAGGCTGATTAGAAGCTAGCATAGTGTCATGGAACAAGATGGAAGTGACAACAAAGTGTTGTACTGTTTGATTTCTTTGAACCAATTCTTTCATAAAGGCCCATTATCACCCAAGCATTATAAGATCCTACCAAAACTCCTTCACTGGGATGTGTTCACGATTTCCACAACATTACTCAGGTGTATAACTCAGAAGAGATACCAACTCTGAACCAAGATTAGCTTATAGCTTTCTCTTAAGGGAACCCTGTTTCCAGCTTAGAGGTTTTTTGAGAGAGTCTCTGTAAGGAACACTCTATAAGCTTGCTTGGCAACAAGACTTCATCAGCCCGAAAATACTCACTATGCCATGACTTTCTTAAGAAAACTCAAGTCAGCTTCATCTCCCAGGACTCTACCAGAGTACCTTCCCATAGGGTTTCTCTACAAGAATTCCTGAACATACCACTGCTTAGCCTCAAATTATACTTCACAAAGGCAAGAGCTTTTGAACCCTTCTGCCTTCAGGCTGCAGAAAAAAAATCTATGAATATTTTTCAGTACATACATTGCCATAGGAGGCAATATGGATCAGTGTAAAGGAAACTGAATTAGGGTTTAGGAGGGATTTGCCAGTGATCTGCTTTGTGACCTTGGGCAAGTCACTTTCTTTTTCTGTGTGTCTGTTTTGTGTCTTTCATGAGACTGTAGATTGTAAGCTTTTGTGGTAGGGACTTTTTCTTGTAATGATACACTGATTTTTATTGTAGCCTATATTCACTGTATTAATACAAATTAATAATAATAGTGGTCCTATATGTCACAATAGATCCCGTGTATATTATTGGGGGCTCTCTATAGTGTATTAAAATTAGATATGTTCCTCCTGTATTTCATGTATTTGTAATTTTATTGTGGGGAGTTTCACTCATTATAAGATAATGATTCTCTGCTCCCTGTCTGGCTACATTTATGGTCTTTGAACTACAATTGGTACTGTAATTTGGCAGTCTTGTTAGATAGGTCAAAGATAGCATAGGCCTAGAGAATGACCAGCTGCACATCTCTAAAAGTAGATCCTTTTGGGTTAGAGGCACACCAGGGCGATTTCAAACTTTCAGCATTATCCATGCAGAAGGGATAGGCCCACAGAGTCTGAGGCATTAAGGTGCCTCTTAGCTCAGTCCTCATTTCCCAGAACTGGAATGCTGATATTTGGTGGTAGCAAGCTGTAATAAATAACAGTGCTATTTAAGAAAGATCATAGTGACTAAAAATACTGTTCTGATTTTTATTTTCTTGAAGGCTCAGCTGTCCCAAGTTTTGGAAGAAGTGGGGACCCAGAAACAGAGAGCAGATATGGTATGTGTTAATTTTCTTTTCCTCCTTGATTTACAGCGTTGAAAAAGTGAGGTGCAACTTTAAATGCCCTTTAATAATGTGGATCCTGAATTTCAGATGTGAACGGGCAGTGACCCTTGCAAGGGGAGGAGAGTGTGTGTCCCATTAAAGAATATCATAGGTCTGGCCTCTTGTGCTTCTCCTTATTTACTTGGTACAAACCCTGCATACTGCTGAGATTACTCCTTCGAAAGCCTGTATTCTTCCTGACAATTTGCCTTCTATTCATTAGCAGTTCTACAAAGAAAATAATTATTTTATTTCATAATGAATCTGGTACTTTGATTGGGTGGTTGCAGTTAGTCTAAGATGTGATAGAATGCCCTGAAAACTAGTATTTTTACTATTTAATTTTTCAGGTGTATTTGTCTATTCAGTTGAGTTTAATCTTCTCAAAGACAGGAAACAGACCAGAAAATTGGAGGACGCGAGGTTGTACACAATTCAGTTGCTTTACTCTATGTCAGTGGTCCCCAACGCGGTGCCCGCGGGCGCCATGGCGCCTGCCGGGGCATTTGTGCGCGCCTGCTTAGTCAGGGTCACGATGCGGGATGGCCGTGGGAGACTGGGCCGCACGCATTGCAGGGCCAAACTCGCACCATGACGGGGCGTGGAGAAGCGCCGGTGGCTGAAGAACCTGTCGGGGAGTGCAGCGGGGAAGCCGCAGGAGCAGGGGGCGCGGG